AAGGTAAGTTAAAAGAAAGAGTACAACTTTACAATCCGTATCCTGTCTCATGTAATCTCTCAATCAGTGTTTCAGCCGTGCAAAGACGTCAATATAACAGCTTGTAAACAATGTCACGTAACGTCACATTTACCCTCGAGAAAAACATATTTGGTGACCATAAAAAATGACCATGAAAAATAAACTGTAGAGAGGGGCATTTTGCTAAATATATGCACCATATAACATTTTCATTATAATTTGTACTGTTCTTCAATGTTTTAATTTATGTTTGAATAAATCCATCAAATTTTTGACAGCCACATTTAAATGTTTATATTAAAAAAAAAAACAATTTGAAGTAGAAATATTATGATGTAATTGTAACTTTATTATTTAAAAAAAACTTCATTAAGTGTAATTTTAGCAGTTGTATATTAGTCTACAAATCAGTAAATTTTAACCTTCAATATTATAGTAATGTAGTACCAACTGACTCTCATGTATATTTTACAGCATTAGTTGCATTAGTAGTTAAAATTTGCCTTGTACTGTACCTGATATGTATCCAAAATAATCGACATTGAATCGAATCGAATTGGTAATCGAATCGAAAGCTTGTGAATGGGAATCGAATCGAAATTTGTGTCAAAACCCAGCCCTAATAACCATAGTAATAGGCATGGATTTCTATATTAAACTAAAACTTATATTAATCAACAAAATTAGTGGCACTCACCAGGAGCAGGGGAGGCTTCTCCTTCAAATCCGTAACCATTCACTTTGGGGGATTCGTGAGGCAGGAGCTCTTTGCCGTCTGGACCAACCTTACCTTGTTTAAACTAGACAGAAGGCAGAGCAGAGAAATATGCTATTAGTTTGGTCATTATTCATGAAAGTGGTTTATGATCGGATGCTGACCAATAAGATGGTACCTGTGCATGGAGCGCAGCAGCTTGCTGGATTTGCGATTTGTTCAGGGCTTTACAGAAGGGGTCAACATCAAACCGAGTGTTCTTGTACAGGACCTCCCGTGGCTTCTTGAACAGTGTGTCATCTTTTTCACCTTTTGGGGAACAAAACAAACATGCAATTTACCGTATGGCTCCTTGGCCATATACATATTAAAATGACACCAAAATTACGGCAATATTTATGATGTTGCTTGCATGCTGTTAATTTTCTATCACCGGCAAATGAAAAATATCACCCTTCCCTACTCATAATCAAGTTATTAACAGTTCATGTACATGCCTCAGAAAGTATTATGTAATAATATACTGATGCAGATCCTCAATGGGAAACTTTACCTTCAGGGTAGTACATGAGTGCATTTTTGGCCTTGTACTGCCATGTTTCCACTCCTGCCTTGGTGCACTCAAGCGCCTGTTTCTCTGTGGATGGTAGAGCGAGGTTCTGCTCGTGCCTCTTTAAACGATAGAACAATAAACATTGTCAGAACTCAAAACAAGACCCACCAATACAAAACTATACAAAAGCTATGTAGTAGCTTCTGTTGTGTTGTACCTCTTTGAATTCATTTTCTGCCTCATAGAGCCACGCATGCCTCAGCTTGTCCTTGTCCTCCGCGAGCTCCATTATCTGCTCAAAGGATGCGTTGTCTTCACTCGTGTTTTTAGCAAGAAAACGGTCCAGAGACGGAAGATCCTTTTCCTCTGTTTTTTCAGCATCTTTTCCTGAAACATAACACAGACCACATGTAGCATATATCTTTAAAATTCCAAAAAGACCCATAATCCCCTCTGTAAAAACTGCAGATTTTGTGCTTATGTAATTAGGTAGTGCCTTGTTTGCATATTTAAATTTCAAAAATACAATAATACAAAACAGCTTTCACAATGTACTTTAATTAATAAAATGCGTAAGAGATGGTATGTATTAGTTTTAGCAGCAGTCACTTACCATCCTCTTTCGCTGCTCTGTGTTTGCTCTGCGAACACGATGGAGATGCACTTCGACCATCTGGGGTCTCAAATGTTGAGGGAGTCGTGTCTAAATGGGAACAAAATGATTTAAAAAAACATTCAAGATGTGAATGAGTTTGTTGCTTCATCAAAACAGATTTGGAGAAATTAAGCATTACATCACTTGCTCACCAATAGATCCTCTGCAGTGAATGGGTGCCGTCAGAATGCAAACATCGAATAAAAACATCACAATAATCCAAAAATAATCAACACAACTCCATTCTATCAATTAATGTCGTATGAAGCGAAAAGCTGTGTGTTTGTAACAAATCCATTATAAAGGCAGTTAAACTTTAAAGCTTTCTTACAAACATTTAGTTTTTTGCTTCACAAGATGTTAATTGATGGACTGGAGTCATGTGGATTACTTGTGGATTATTGTGATGTTTTTTATCAGCTGTTTGGGCTCTCATTCTGACGGCACCCATTCACTGCAGAGGACCCATTGTAAATTTTTAGTAAATTTTTGGGTGAGCTATTCCTTTATTAATCACAAACCGTAAGAAACGTCACTCACAGGGCACATAGGTTCGTGGGGTGTATTTAGCCATCAAAGACCCGTATTTGATGGCGATCTCCCTCATCCGCTCCATATCTCCGTTTTCCTCTGCCTCCAGATAATCATTCTGCGCTTGAAGTTTGGAGACATCTGGGAAAAAGTCCCTCTGGATGATCTTCTCCAAACCCTTTGGAAGATATTGTGGTATGCGTGTCAGAGGAATTTAAGCAGATATAAGCATGTTGTTTACAGGTGACACATGATACTCAATCAGCTGTTCCTGTATAACACATTGCATGCTGAAAAACGGACTAAGGTTTGGTATTTTGTGTAAACACTGCGGTGTTGAAGATCACCGTCGTTATTTTATTTAATAATAATAAAAACCAAAGCCAAACCAAGTGTATTCAAGGAACATATTTCAAAACACATGCGCATTAAAACGGTGTAACACAATAAATTATTGAATGTATTAAGTATAATACAATGAATTATGTCAGAAAATCCCCTGTTGTAAACAGTATATATATATATGACTGTCTTACCTCTATATATTCATCTTCATCAAGAATCTTCCTCGTCGGTTTCTTAGTCTCTACCACATCATTCCTGACAGCGACTGTAGTAACATCAGACTTCACACTCAAAGCTTTCTCTTTGGACTCTGTCATATTTCTATTTTAACAGGAGAAACTGTTCTTTTACAGTAATTTAAAGTCCAATTGCGCAAGACGTTGTTTACGTTAGCGCCTCCAGATAATCATTCTGCGCTTGAAGTTTGGAGACATCTGGGAAAAAGTCCCTCTGGATGATCTTCTCCAAACCCTTTGGAAGAAATTGTGGTATGCGTGTCAGAAGAATTTAAGCAGATATAAGCATGTTGTTTACAGGTGACACATGATACTCAATCAGCTGTTCCTGTATAACACATTGCATGCTGAAAAACGGACTAAGGTTTGGTATTTTGTGTAAACACTGCGGTGTTGAAGATCACCGTCGTTATTTAATAATAATAAAAACCAAAGCCAAACCAAGTGTATTCAAGGAACATATTTCAAAACACATGCGCATTAAAACGGTGTAACACAAATTATTGAATGTATTAAGTATAATACAATGAATTATGTCAGAAAATCCCCTGTTGTAAACAGTATATATATATATATGACTGTCTTACCTCTATATATTCATCTTCATCAAGAATCTTCCTCGTCGGTTTCTTAGTCTCTACCACATCATTCCTGACAGCGACTGTAGTAACATCAGACTTCACACTCAAAGCTTTCTCTTTGGACTCTGTCATATTTCTATTTTAACAGGAGAAACTGTTCTTTTACAGTAATTGAAAGTCCAATTGCGCAAGACGTTGTTTACGTTAGCCTGTACGCTAAGTACTCTTTTTTTCTCTAACGAAATGCTATTAAGACGTGTTTAAAACGTATTGGTTGCCTATTTGAACGATAGCTCGCGATAAATGTTAATTTTAACCACCACTTGATCAAAAAATGACCGAAAATCCATGGAAGTTAATAACAGTAGCTGAACGCACGCAGGAAGAGCATCTTCTTCTGCGCATCATTTCCGGCGCAGACCAATGAAGCAGAGCGACTCTTCCGTCGCCACCTATTGAATAGCGACCGCGTTTGTTTTTGCCCCTTATTTGTACTGTACATGAACTTTAATGACTGAAGCAGCTTAGCATTTCTAGTACACGTAAACACTTAAATAGCACATTACCTCAGTGAACATGGTAAGCGATAACATATTATTTCAGTCCATAATTGCAATAAAAGGCATGCTAGGTGTCAAAGCCTTTAATATATCGTAGACAAGACACCACAGGTGAGTAAGGTACACACGCACGCAGGAAGAGCATCTTCTTCTGCGCATCATTTCCGGCGCAGACCAATGAAGCAGAGCGACTCTTCCGTCGCCACCTATTGAATAGCGACCGCGTTTGTTTTTGCCCCTTATTTGTACTGTACATGAACTTTAATGACTGAAGCAGCTTAGCATTTCTAGTACACGTAAACACTTAAATAGCACATTACCTCAGTGAACATGGTAAGCGATAAACATATTATTTCAGTCCATAATTGCAATAAAAGGCATGCTAGGTGTCAAAGCCTTTAATATATCGTTGACAAGACACCACAGGTGAGTAAGGTACACATTTAAACTAATAGATATCACCATACTTCCCTAGTTGTTTAATTACAGTAGACAATTTCTGAAATGTCATGTCTAAATATGCAAATCAAACATTATCTAATTAAATACGCATATATTTGCATAAATGTACATAACAGAAAACAATAAAGTCTTAAATGTGTATTTTTGATATTTTCTTTGCACTACTCTGAAAGAAAACATGTTATGGAAACAAAATAGGCCAAAATTGAGCAAAACAATGGTTTTCCTTGTAGTGTCTTGCCTTAGCAGATCATAGTCAAGTGAAGATATGTTTGCTTTTAATTATGTATTAATAAAAAATGCAAAGCTTCAGAGTCCCCAAAAATGAACCTCATGACTACAGAAAATTATATACAAAATATGCATTAAGAGGAAGACTAACAACACTTTAAATGTTACGGAAAGCAACAGAAAATAGTTTGGCTGAAAGAACATGAAAATTAATATGTCTTTGCTCCCTATAATCATCTGCCTTCATGATCACAGTCTGATACATATTAAAGTAGCTATTTTGTATCATATCATAGTCAGACGTAAAGAATCAGCTGTTTCACTGTCATGTGTTACGCTAAATCCAGAAGCCAGTCTGTCTGAAACTGGTTGCAATGGCGTACGAGGATCTTTTAATCAACATAAAGATCTGAACATTTCCAGTATGACCAGAGGCAGAGCTTTAAACAACTGCATATTTAAATAAAATGTAACAGCAGTATGCTATTAAGTGGATGGGCTTATGTGATCCTGCACATGAAGCATATCATTAAGCCTTCAGTTTTTTTAGAAGGCCAAAATATGGAATGGCAAAGACAACACTGCAAAAAATAATTTTCTTACTTCACATTTTTGACTTGTTTTCCCATCACGAATATCTAAATGTTCTTAAATCGAGACATATTTGCTTGAGATGAAAAATGTATTTCTGAAAAATGTATCACAATCAAGTGAATTTACGCTTAAAGCAAGAAAAAAATATGTCAATTGGGTATGAAAAATAATCTTGTTTTTCTTTTGATTTGCGTATATCTTTTTAGGTTTTAAGCATAAACTCACTTAATTTTGTTCTTTTTTTTCCTTCAGAAAACGAAGACTTAGTTTATTTTGTTTCTCAAAAAAAAAATTTTTTTTTTTGCAGTGAACACTGAAATATGTACAGGTGTTTATAGGTGAAGTGTGTAATTTCTGCAACATCAAACAGAATAAACTAGTTTTAAACAAAAGGAAGCTCACAGAAGCCATGCATTTCTATTTTTCCATTAAGCATTCTTGAGGTCACAACTTATCTTTATTTTTGCAAATCCAGTTGATGCTGCCAGTGCTAGAAACTACACACCTCAACTTCAAGCTCTTATTGGTCACATTGGGATATTACAGAATTAAACTAATAAATATAGACTGCTAAGATGTGATAATAGAGGCCCAGTGTCTTTGTAGCAATGTTCAGCAGGGACCTTCTTTGCCCATTGGGAGCTTCTTGGCAAGTCGCTGTGCGGTCAAGAGCAAAGGCACGTATTTCGAAGCAGAAGCGATGAAATCACCGCAAATCCATCACGGTCACACTTCCGTCTGTGATGGTGACGTGTTGACTAGCCTGAGCACAAAACACAGATGCAAAACATTCATTATAGTGCACATAAGGTTGAAGGACAAAGTAGATCAATCAAATGGAGTTTAAGGAATAGTTCACCCAAAAATGAAAATTTGCTGAAAACGTACTCACCTACAGGCCGTCCAAGATGTAGATGAGTTTGTTTATTCATCATAACAGATTTAGAGAAATTTAGTATTACATCACTTGCTCACCAATGGATCCTCTGCAGTGAATGGGTGCCGTCAGCTGATAAAAACATCACAATAATCCACAAGCAATCCACACCACTCCAGTCTATCAATTAACATCTTGTGACATTATAAAACTGCATGTTTGTAAGAAACAAATCCATCATTACAATGTTTTTAACTTTTAACTGGCTAAAATACAAGTCCTCTATAACATTGCTTTCTCCAGTGAAGTCGTCTCATCTGAATCAGGAGAGAAATATGCACAGATCAAGCACAGCTTACAATAAAAAATCAGTCCATAACAGCTCTAAACAAATATGTTGGTGGATTTGGATGTGAAAGAACAACAGGAGATGGACTTTTTCACTAGAGGAAGTGCTCTTATGGATTATAGACTGGTTATTTTGGTCAGAAACGACGGTTTAAAGTTAAAACACTCTAATGATGGATTTGTTTACAAAGAAACGTTTTGCTTCACGGGATGTTAACTGATGGACTGGAGTGGTGTGGATTACTTGTGGATTATTGTGATGTTTTGATCAGCTGTTTGGACTCTCATTCTGACGGCACCCATTCACTGCAGAGGATCCATTGGTGAGCAAGTGATGTAATGCTACATTTCTCCAAATCTGTTCCCATAAAGAAACAAACTCATCTATATCTCGGATGACCTATTTTAATTTTTTGCGTAAGCTATTCTTTTAAGTACTTAAAGGGTTCACTAATCACTAATCAGGCATCACTCACAGAGAAGAGGGGCGGCTCCCTTGGATGCGGGTGGAATCCTCTTTGTTTGCAGGAACAGATCTCGTCCATCCCGTAGTCTGTCAGCCGAAAGTAGCCAGTCCTGGAGCATAAGTTATCAGACTGTTATTTTTCCATTAAACGTGCTAACTATCACTCAAACTAATTAACACGGCATATAGCCAAAAACGTACTCATTAAATTTAGGTGAGCACACAATGGCTATAGACTCTGGAAGCATGATTTGATAAGAGCAATGTGTGTGCAGGTCCACACTGGATAAAAAGGCCGTCTGGGTCGGGTGAGTCTTATATATAAAAAAATAAAAGAGATTGATTATTCTCCAGACACATAATTACAGTGATACTGTATAATAATTAAAAACAAACAAACAAAAAAGTCATGTGACCATACAGAAAACATCATACATGAATCCAGCCCAGTGTAATGAGATCATTCTGATCCTGGATTAGGAAAAGTTCCTCCTCGTTCTCTGTGTCACAGTAATCTGGTCCTCCACACTGCTTGGGTACGATCACGTGCGTCACTGTGAAGGCGTTCTTCATCTGTGGACCAAGACATCAAACTGTTTTGTGATTTGCTCATCATAATACAGATTTCCTCAGACATGTTATTAAGGTTGCAGTTTGCACAAATTATATTCAAGAGATAGTAAGATTTATATACAGTCGTGGCCAAAAGTATTGGCAGTGACATACATTTTGTGTTTAGCACAATTTGCTGCTTAAGATGTTGTGGTGTTCATTCACATTGTTTCTAGATTATGTCACTGCAAATACTTGTAGAAACAATGTGAATGAACACCACAACAGCTTAAGTAGCCAATTTTGCAAAACACAAAATTTATGTCACTGCCAATACTTTTGGCCACGACTGTACACTTCCATTCAAAATTTTGTGGGTTTTTCTTTCGTGTTTTGAAAGCAGGAATGCATTAATTCAACCAAAAACTACAGTAAAGACCTTTATAATGGTACACAGATTTCATTTCAAATAAATGCTTTTCTTTTGAACTTTCCATTCATCAATGAAAAAAAAAAGTCTGCTCGTGTCTGAGCATGTTTTGGACGTACCAGCTTGCCACAGAGAATCCCACAGGTCTCCACGGCCCGTGCTGTGTTGGCATCTGCTAGCTTTAAAAACCTTTGGCACAGCTCGGCGGGCACAAAGAGCTGCCGCAAGCCGTTTACCAGCGCACCTAAGAAAACACACATAATCTCAACTTGATTACTGAACAATTGTAATATATGTAGGTCAGCAATGAATAAGGAAGTGCAAACTGAGGCCTCACTGTGTCCTGCACTGACTGGAACACTAGGCTTCAGTGAGCGGTCAAACGCTGGGAGGGGTGAAGTTTGAGAGACATGGTTCGGGGTTCCTCCGGGGCTCGTCGGCGGTGAAAACGAGGCCTGTGGAGGTCCTTGTGCATCAGGCACCAGGAGATCTCGGGGAGAGGTGGGCGACGCCGGGACGCTGAACTCCTGCACGATGCGCTGGCGCGCCTTCTCCAGCTGCTGCCTGCGGATCATCTCCTCAAAGGCACTGAACTGCTCCTGCTCGCGCTGACGCTGCTGCTGCTCGGCCCGTATCTGCTTCTCGGCCTCCTGCTCCCGCTGCTTGGCCACTTCTCGAGCCTGGGCCTCATCCTCCGCTCGCTGCCAGGAGTCACACACCCGTCAATAAACACTATTACTTGAATTAGTTTGTAGGTATCATTTAAGAAAAATCTGCCCCTAAATGTTACCCACCTTTCGGACGAGATATTCGGCGTGTTCTTTTTCGTACTGCTTGAGAAGCAGCTTTTTCAGTTCCTCAGCTTTCGGAAAAGCAACTTCCTTTAATTTCTAGCATGGAAAATAAGGGATATTCATTAGCTTGAGATGCAAACGATTTGGCATGCTTTATGAAACTTTTAACTTTCCCCAGGAAGAGGAAAATCTCACCCTCATCATTTCTTTCTTCTCAGGAATGTTGGCTGTTTTATATTCACGATGTTTAGGAAGTTTTTCAATAAACAACCTAAAAGGAAGTAAAACGCAGGAACATTATTGATTATTTTCAAAATATTATCATTCAATAATAATATTTATACATATTTATTATTTATATAATATGTTATAAAATGTAATTTTATTATATTAACTTACTTTAATTTGTATTAATATTATTTTTTAAATATTTAGTTTTGATGTTTAATGTTTATTTATTTCCTAGTATATTAAGAAATGTATTTCTGGTAAATAACAAGATCACACAAATGGTTTTATGATGTTTTTATGTTTTATGGTTTTATGAAATGTAATGGAATTTTTTTAATAAATGGAAGCAAAATAATAAGAAAATATTAAAACAGTCAAATATTTTTATAATTAAAAAATAATCTATTTTTATGAGTATATTTATAGCAATAAAATGATACATGTGTGAACTTAAACCACAAAACCAGTCACAAGGGTCAATTTTTTAAAATTGAGATCATTTGAAATTTTGATAGGACAATATTTGGCCGAGATACAACTATTTGAAAATCTGGAATCTGAGGGTGCAAAATAAAATAAAAAAAATGTATATTGAGAAAATCGCCTTTAAAGTTGTCCAAATTAAGTTCTTAGCCATGCATATTACTAATCAAAAATTACGTTTTGA